CCTTTTTAAAAAAAAAAAAAAAAAAAAAAAAAAAAAAAAAAATCCCCCACTCCAAAAAAAAAAAAAAAAAAAAAAAAACCTAACCAAGTTTTAATTTTATAAAGCACATTGTTACTTAAATTTTTGGTCTGTATACAATTCAGTACAGTAGATGAAGTGGTAAAAGTGAGCTTTAAGGAATGCTCTCATACAAGAATGGGCAAGGAGAAACTCGGGAAGAGACAAAGTCCATGCAGCTTGTTACTTGCACCTGAGTTTTTTCTTAGGGACTTTTAACATTCAGAGTATTTCACTGTGTTAATATTTCAATCCTATTCCATTTTTCTTCTTCAGAATGCCTATCACAATGTGACTGCAGAACAGCTCTTTTTGAAGGACATTATAGAAAAAAAGTTGGTAATCAGCTTGACTCAAGATTGACCATACAGATTCAGAAGATGCTGCTGAAAGAGTATTTGATTTATTTTTATACGGCAATTTTTAGTTTATTTTTAAATGTTAGATGGATCATCAAATAATTATGTATATTAAGTCTGTTGCTGCCTGGTGGTTTATAACCACCAGCTTGATTTCTGTGATTATATTTATGAAAACCAAGAAACTTTTAGTTATCAGGGAAATAACTTTTGTGTTTTTAAAATAAGCTAGCTTTTTTGAGATGTTTTAAAACATCTTAGCATTCTAAGGGGATTTGGATGACCTCAACAATTCTATCATGTGCCATTCTGAGAAGCTTAATTGTTAAGGCCACTGTTATTCCTGGCATGTGATTGTGCAGGGGTACAGAAAACTGGAACCATTTGACCTTGGAAGTCCATGGTATTCATACTAGTTGAAGTTCTTCCCTGTCCCCTGTGATTAATCCATGATATGGTCAGTAAAAATTCCGTGCTAAAGATTGAGCCAGGGCCTTCCTTGTACATGTTAGACACACTCCAACACTGAGCAGCATTACCAGCCCTTGACTTTTTTTTTTTTTTGGTCTTTTTGAGACAGGGTCTCCCTGTAGCCCCAGCTGGCCTGGAACTCCTATGTAGACCAGGCTGGCCTTGAACTCACTAGGATCTGCCTGCCTCTGCCTCCCCAGTGCTGGGATTAAAGGCATGTGCCACCATGCCGGGCCATCAGCCCTTGGTTTTTTGAGACAGGTTCTCACTATGTAGCCCAGGCTGGCTTAAGCTTGCTATTCTCCTGCCTCAGCTTTCCAAGTGCTGGGATTACAAGTGGATACAGGAGATACAGGTGTATATTATACTCTACTGTATCATCTTTAAAAACATTACTATTATTATTATGTTCTTAGACAGGATCTCTATGTAGCCCTGGCTGCCCTCGATATGTCTCACAGAAATCTGGCAACCTCTGCTTCCCAAATATGTTTAATTTTATACAGAAAGACTAGGCAAAGCAAGCTTAAGAATGGAAAAACTTTATTATTGTTTCCCAGTTAAATTTATTTCACAGGACTAAATTTAGCCTTCAATGAAACACCAGACCATCTCAGGTACACTAAAGAAAAATCAAAGAAAAGACAAACAAGCTAGCCCTGTGAACTCGACCCCTTTCCAGCTGTTAATATACAGCCAAAGGCTACTTGGGGTGGAAGAATGGGAGGTGAAGAGAAAAGAGAACAGTAGAGGTTGCAAGGATGGATTCAAAAACTGTTGGAAGTCTGAGCTGAATGAGGAATCACTATCCTTTGAGCAGTGAGCTACACTGAAAACACTGGTGTTACTGGCAACCAGCTTGCCTCCCTAAAGAGAGTATAAAGACTGAAATATCAGCATAATCAGGCAAGAATACCAAAAAAACAGCTTGTAAAAGGGGGGCAGAACTGGTAGTTGATTTACCAGAGATCAGATAGTATACAGTGTTCTGTTGATTCTAGCACGTGCTGGCATAGTGCCCCAGCTTCATTTGATTCTTCTGTGGTTGAAAAGCTGGGTACTAGCTGAATATATGTATGTTCATGGGGGTATTTCCCTCATACCACATAGTCACAGGCTGCAGCTTGGTTGCTGAGGCTCAGTTTGATATTAAGGAGATCAGGTTTGAAAAAGGATGGAGCTGAGCAAAGGGATGGGAAAAATCCAGGGAGAAAACCAGCAGTATCATTTTGAAATAATGCTATAATATAGCACTATATTGGCCATAAAATTTATAACTAATGTTAACACAGAAATGTGGCATTTTGTGGAAATATGACCACCTGCAGATGTCAAGAATGTTTTATTTAATCCAAATATTTTGAGCAAGACACATATATACAATTTATTAAAAACACATTAGAATTTCACTATTTTCATACAGTCTAAATTCTAGCAACATATACAGATACCAAGTGACTACAGTACATGCCGAGGTAAGAAAAATACATTCTGGGATAATGTAACTGCCACTCAAGCCATTTTCACTTCCTACATAGTTCAATACATGTTTTGTTTCCACCATTCCCAGTGCCAAAAAGGGAAAACAAACAAAATCAAAGTTGGACTAAATGAGAATTGGTACCACAGTTAACAAAGTATTCTAATAACCATCCAACTCTTTTTGCAGTTTAGGAACTTCAAGTTCATAACCAAAAGGCAGAATTAAGAAATAACTTTTCTTTTAAATACAGAGCTTTGTCAGCTGTCTTCAGAGGGTTTGGAAACCTTTCAATGTCCCCCGTAATCTACGGGTCTTTCTAGTGGTTTCATCTGTCTTGGTGTTTCTAGGCCTCTTTTGCTGCTCTCCAAGTGACAGTGTGGAGCCAAGGCAAAGAAGCTCAGTCTGGATCAGCAGCCACAGCCTTATGGACACACTCATGTTTAATGTACCCCACTACCTCCCACGAGAGAAGGTGGGGAGAAGCACGCATATATAAAATGTCATAATTGTAATGACTATAAATTCTCTACTTGAACAGCAAATAAACCCATTTTTCAATGCAAAGTGCAAATAGTGAAACGTAAATTAAATAACTGGACTAGACCTGGCACATACAACAGGAACTACTTATATTTCTATCATTTAATAAACCACAAACCAGAATTCACAATATCTTTATCTGTGCTGCTTTCCTAGGATGAAATCAGTGTAATTTTATAAACCTCAGAAGGCTGCACTTGCCACACTGCTGTCTGATTCTATTTTTATAATTGTATTATCAGGAAAAAAAAATCTGATCCAATTACCACAGTGACTTAGATAGTATTAAATATTTCAAGCAAGGAATTAAAACTTAAAGGGTCCTTGTCAAGAAATAGTTACTTTCACATTTTCAGTTACTTGATTGTCTTCCAAAGCTGTATGTAAGACATGTAAGTACATTAAAAAACAAAAATAATCTATAGTATGAAAACTAAAAGGCAAAGTACAAAACCAGACAAACCATCTGAATCAGGCTCGGCTCTTCATCTGCAAAGTAAAATATATAAAAATAATAACTAGGTATTTTATTAAAACCATTGGTAGAGTTCAAGGACAGCACAGTGGCAGTATGAATCAAGTCTTAAAATATGCATCATTTCAAAAAACATTGCTTCATTTTATTAAAAAAAGCTCTAAGGAAAAATTTTCAGAGACATACAATTACACAAAAATAGCAAACTTCTTTGGGAAAATGAATTCATCTTGAAAATGTCTCCCTTAAAGCTTCAAACAGGTATCTGACTTCAGGAAAACTATATTCTCTGTGTACTAAGCATGAGTAAAATAAAACAGCAAATGGTTTACTTTGTTCCCACCTGAAAGGGGACATCTGCATAATACATGTGCTTCACACATTCATATATGGTTTAATAAAGTTCAACATCTGTGCTTTGTGTTTCAAATACCTTGAAACAAAATATACAATGATTTTTTTTTTTTCAGTGAGTGGAATTGTGCCTCAAGGTTTGTAAAACAAAAGGCAAACGAAAATAAAAGCAACAAAGTCATATAAGGAAAAGGCAAGGAAGCTGCAGAAACAGTTCATTCCAAAGCAGAAGCAATCTTCAAATGCTGCGGTGCTTGTACAAGGAGCAAAACCAATACTATTTGCCGCTATTCAAATTTAGTGAATTTAGTGACTTTTGGCAATGTCATAACTGGTGGCACAAACCAAGAGAGGTGAATAGAACGTGAGGGGCGGGATACTTTGACACTAAACTACAAACAGGTTTGTGGATGAGGGATACCAAGTTTTGTGTTTCTCATAATGGTGACCTTCTTGTGTTGTCTTGCCCGCCTACACCTACAGACATCTGAAGATGGTTTCTGTACTACAGGCTAATCCACTACAAAAGATACCTAATTTGCCCTATCCAAAACAAGTTCTGGGTAGGTCATGTACAAGTAGTGACAAGGAAGTTTCTGGGAAGAATCACACAGAATCTAGATGCTATCTATCCATCTATTTGTACATCTGTCAACCACATCTCACCTGAAGGGCTACTTAGGCCTCTTCCCGCAGATAAAAGGCCAAAATCACACAGTAGGGCAAAATGCATGTTGGCTCTTTCCTTTTTATAGTGCCGGGGATTGAACCTAAGGCTTCACACATTCTAGGCAAGCACTAAACCACTGAGCTACATATAACTCAGCTTTTCTCATTTTGAAATAGGTTCTCTTAAGCTGCCTAGGTTGATCCTGTACTCACTCTGTAGCCTACAAAGGCCATGAACTTGTGATCCTCTTGCCTCAGCCTCCCCAGTATCTGGGACCACAGGCCTACACCACCATGCCTGGCTCATGTTGGGGTTCTTTTTCTTATAATAGTTTACTAAACTAAAATGAAAAATTATTTGACTAAAATTATAGAACACCTTGTTACTCAAGGAAAAAAATCCATGTGCTTGTGTTTGTGAGTATACAAAACAAGTGGTAAGTTCTCATTTTGTAATTGCTAAAAATTGTATATTACTTCATCAGAGCGATCTCCTTTATAGCTTTTCTAAACTGTTAACTGCTTCTCTCCTACTTCTACTCAATGACACAAGAGGGCTCTGACTTCACGAGACTGACAAAGTTAGCATCACCTGTTAAAAAAAAAAAAACCACCATCAGCTTTTCTGAATACAGAATGGAACAAGCCACGAAGGGCCCTGGATAGAATGAGCAAGGCTGAGACTAAGTCCTATGAGGTGTTAATGCTGCTGAAGAGTGTCATCAATGAGAAGTTCCTTGCCCAGCTCACTGCAAGGCAGGGTGCTCCAGCAATGTGTCTTCCTGGGGAAAGACACAGAAGTGTACATGGCTGCAACTATAACAGGGCTTCTTGATCACTGATTAATATCAGGGGAAAAAAAAGGATCCAGACAGGAATATAGGATTCAAAGAAGAGGAAGCACAATAGTACCTACCTTTCAACAAAGGGAAAATTTCAAGCCATTCGGTAGTTCAAGAACAGTACCATGCATTATTGCCAGCAAGGCTTATAGAACCATCTCAAGTTCATTAATGTACCTGCAGTATTGGTAATAAATATTCTCAGTGATTTTCAGGTTCTTTGAAGTGCATCATAGGGAGTTTTTCTCTATTAAAAATAGTGTTTTACAGTAGTAACAAACAGGATGCTTTGAAATTTAACAGGCAAGCAGTAACTGTGCCACAGTAACACCTTTAAAGCAAGATAAGTAGTTTCCTGTACCCCGGTCACCATATTCCCCAACCACTTCAGTGACAGATATGTAATACATTCTATTACTACTACCACTAAGAATTAAAAAGCCATGTGCTTTAAATGAATGCTTTGTAAAAAGCAGTACTACCTTCAAAGGATTTCTTTAAAAGCATCACACTCCTCATTCCTTCCTGCACCTGATACTTCCTGGGTGCTCTGTGGCACCTGGTACACCAATTCATCTGGGGCAGCTGGCTTCCCACCTTTCGGGGTATCATACTGGGCCCGACTTGAGGAGCAGCTATCAGTCCTAGAAAGAAGTGTATTGTAAGTTCCCACTAAAGTGGGAGGTTGGTTCCCTGTAGTTTTAAAAGTGGATGTGGAGGGCAGACCAATTGAGGCTGTGGGGTGCCCAGACATGTCCATGACGATTGGGGTTGCATACTCGGGCCCCGTGATGGGCAGTGGTTCGGCGTAAGCATGATACACATCCTGCACTGGAGAGTTATAAGGATCTAGGTCTGCATAGCCTGCTTCTTTTCCTTCTTCAGGTTTAAAGGTAGATCTCTGATGGAGTGTACCAACGATTCCTCCCACAAGGGGCTGTGCATATTCTGTAGATACCACAAAACATAGTGAGACACTTACCAATGCATAGACTACATAATTTAAGATTATAACAACAGGTTGTGCCAAAAGCAAACTTTTAATCATACCACTGTTGATGTTATCAATACAAACCTATAGAATTCACACCTGCTAGTACTAACTTAAACATGTTACCTATCATCTCACAGTAGTAAGTTGACATGCCAAAAGCCTCATTAATTTTTTTTGCATGATGTGTTTATAAATCTTCTTTAGATTTATGAGTACCTCACTGGGAAAGTATTTCATTAATACTATTTTCATTAGCATTGGAAAATATGTTATTTTTTTCCTTCTCAAATATTAGGGAATGTTTAAAATGAACATATAATGGGGTAACAGGAACATGTAATGGGGTAAGACTCTGTCCTTCCTACTCTTTTATTATATTGTGTGTATGTGTTCATGTGTGTACATGCAGAGGCCAGAGGACAACATTGGATGTCATTCATTCCTTAAGAGCTGTTCACCTTGTTTGGCAGACAGTTTCTGTCACTGGGATCTGGGGCTCATCTATTAGCTAGACTGGCTAGCCCAACAAGCCCCAGGGATCCTCCTGTCTCTGCCTTCCCAGCACTGGGATTACAAGCATGCACCACTGTGGATCTAATTTTGACACATGGCTTCTGGGGATCTAATTCTGGTCCTTCTGCTTGCAAAGCACTTTATAGACCAAGTTATCTCCCCAGCCCCTGGATCTCCTCCTAACACTCTTGTTCCATAGAGTCACACCCTACATGCTCCCCTGCAACACACAAAAAAATAAAACAAATGAAATATCAGGTCAATAAATAAAATGCCCAGTATCTTTAGAAACAAATGCCCCCATTTTATGAATAGAACACCTAAGACAGAAATGACTCTCTCATGGTTATCTTTTGAAAAAGATTACCTTTAGAACAATAGTTTAACATATGAAAAAGATCAAAGATACTGAAAATCCCAAAGCCCTTCTTTAAACAAATATAAGAAGTGTCTCCTCCCACCTGGTACCCAAGGGCTGCCACATTTACCTGCAGAGTCAGCTTGCAGCACTGTGGTAACTTCTCGAGGACTCAAGTGATTGACTTCACTATTACTGTAGCGAACTGGAGTTTCCTCATGTTCCACAGATTTGGTAGGGAGAAACTGCTTCATTCCTTTCCACCAGCCTTTGTTGTGATTGTAAGCCAGAGAGACCATTATTATTTAAAAATATGGACTAATCTTTAGAAATTAACTTTCATAGTCAAAATCACTTTCTGCTTCGATAGAATACCCAGTGCAAAGCAGCACATGGTAGAAACCTTTACCTAATGTACATGTAGACAAATCAGTGTTAATGCATGCTGCTAGACACAGTGTTTGTTACAGTGTTGTCTAAAAGTAAGTTTTGCTCAAAAACAAAAAGTAAAAGCAACTCATGGTACTTTTAAAGATCCATCCTGGGCTATACTCTGCTCATCACCAGTTTACTGTACTCTGGTCATGGCACTGACCCTTCCTGTTCTAGGAGACATTTTAGGAAGGGGGAACTTGAGAGGGCATCTGGCATCACTAGCAACAGTTCAGATGGCCAGAGACTTCATGGATTCCTAAAGTACTGGACTCCCATTGGTGAATAACATGGTAGAACCATACACACACACACACGAGTTACTGGAGACCTTAGTCTTTTGTTTCTTACTCTGTTCACATAGGCTACATAGAAGGCTAGTCTCCTCAAGAGGAATAGTCAGAGAAACAAACTTTTCGGGAAAAAATTCCAAAAAACCACAGTATACTACGAGTAATTTATACTCTCCACTTCATTACTTATGAACTAGATGATTAAGAAGAAAGAGGTATGGCACTTCAAACTGTGAAGAGTTCTTGGCCTGAGAATGGCTTTCCTCCTTCACTGCCATAAATAGTAGAGGAGATTTTTCTCTGAGGGAAAAAAAGAGGCCAAGTCCATATGAGTATGAGTTACCTGTCCGGTCCCAGTAAGGTATGTCATAGGTGCCTTCAGTTTTTTTCTTTCTGGAAAAAAAGTTAACCAGCAGTGAATCCTCTAGTAAGAAATCTCCCAAACTGCAGTACAAATGCCAAGGCTAAAAGTTAGGAGTACACATTTCCACCTGTTGATCTACCTGAGTGAGTCTTCACTTGACTTTCAAAGTTGCTACTGCAGAGACTTATAAATTCTGGACTCTCTGTAAATTAGTTATCTTGTTACCTATTATTCACTGGAAAGGAAAAAGGAAATTAGAAGTCTACAAGACTGTAAGACTGAATCCGAAAGTCAGCCTTGACAGGTAGGCTATTCATGTTACGTTTGTTCTGGCTTCAAATGTAAATTTAACAAATCAGTTCATAGAACTCAAAAATCATCCTGTTCTGGTTTTCCATGCTGCACTGTTCTTTTTTTGGGGGGAGGGGGTCTTTTTGAGACAGGGTCTCCCTGTAGCCCCACCTGACCTGGAATTCACTATGTAGACCAGGCTGGCCGCTGCCTCCCAAGTGCTGGGATTAAAGGCATGCATGCCACTATGCTTGGCACTGGACTGTTATTTCTGTGACTTCCTGCTTTACTTCGGTGGTTCTTTTCCCCAGAAAAGTTTAGAGTATCTCGTGGTCTTAATTGCACAGATGTCCTCTCTCCTACCATCCCAGCATACAACAGCTCTGTCACCAAGAGTGACAAGTGGCAGAAGGAGGAGAATGATTCTCCAGACCTGAAGGCCCTACAGAATCTGTGATGAAGAAAGAACCACTGTTCATTCTGCAATGAACAAGATTCTTGCCAGCGTACTCATCCCACCTCAGAATTTTGATTTATGCTCACCAGGAAAAATTGCTCTCTTTGATTAGAATTACTATTTACCCAGAGCCTTTTACAAAGGAAAATGAGCAATGAAAGAACATCTGGATACAAGCATGCAAATCAAATTTGGGCTAGTGAGATGTCTCAGCAGGTAAAGGTATTTGCTGCCAAGCCTGAGGACCAGAGTTTGATCCTTAGCACTCACAGGGTGGAAGGAGAGAGCAGACTCCTGCAAGCTTTCCCCCCACCACACTCACTCTAAATGAATAATTAAATGTAAATAACACAAAAACAAAAAGTCTACTGAGAGCCTTTTACAAACAAAACCTAGCAAATGAAAGAACAGTTTTAAATACAAGCATGCAAATCTAATTTAACTGAAATTAAGGTTACAGGCTAACAAGAAAGCGGAAATTATTCTGCTCTACAAACAAAGGTAAGAATGGTGAGGTTTCATTTACGATCACAAGTGTGGCTTTCATAAACAGCCCAAGCCATTTACTTTGCCTACTAGGGAAACACTGTCTCTTGTATAATGGTGTATTTTTGTTATTGATACTAAAAGCTTCCTTATTTTGAAACATAGCCATATGTAAATTATTTCATTATTTTCTTTTAAAGTGTAATATAAATCTGTAAAGTAGATGCTGTGATGGTCGATGTCAAAGTTAATTAAAAGCTCAAATGAAAAAGCTATATAATGGTTTATTAAATAGTTTTCTTTCTGAAAGTCCTGTATCATAAGAGTTAAAATCTTCCAAAACACCATTAATCTTCAAGGTACATTATACTTGGTATGAAGATGAAACCCATTATTTTGTACAATCAGTACGTACTAATAAAAATAGAAAAAGGAAAACATCAGTCATCTCTTCTGAACAGAAGTTACTCTATAATGCTAGGGCAAATGATGGCTACGGCTCTTAGGGGCTCTGTAACAAGGATTTTAAACACTAAACTGCAAGCAGCAAGGCTTCATGCTATTTGTTGTATGTAAGAACAGTGATTTGTGTGGGTTAAAGATTCAGTAAGCTGCAGCTATTCTCCTGACTGCCACGTTTCTCACAGGCCATTGCGGTCATTTGCTTTTACTCCTGTCAGGTGACTCGGTAATTCTAATCACGTAGCTCATATTCCATGTCTTTCCAGATGTCTGAATGCCCAAGAGATAAACTGAAGCCAGGTCCAAAACTGTCCTCTGTGGAACACTCATTAAGTGACCTTGGAGAAGTTATTATTTATGCTGCTGACCTCATTGTGCCTATTATTACTGCTAAGTTCACTGACTGCTTCTCTAGGCTTTCCTGAAGACCCCTCCTCGCCCTCCATTCCCTGTGGACCTCACACTAGCTCAATGACCCTGCTCAGTCTTGCCGACACTGATCCTTGGTCCACCTGCTTCTTCGGCTTCCTGCTCTGGCACATTCTGCAGTCTCTGGGCTCTCTGCATTGTGCATTATGTTCTGAAAGCTTCTGGTTTTGTCACAGAACTCCCCAGCACATGACTCAATACTTGGCATAAGGTAGCAGTTAGGTATCCAAATGCAGTATTTGTTTAAATGGGTGAACAAGTGAAGTCATTCTCTTTCTCCACTAAACCTGTCCCTCCTGCTGTTATCTCAATTCACAGCACTGCTTCTAGTCTACGTACACAAGCCAGGAATCTCAAATGACCCAGATCTTACCTTCTGCCTTCATATGCAAGTAGTACATACCCTTCTGACACTGTGGTGAAACACCCTCCTCATCTTGTCACTGCTATAGCATCTCTGTGCTGTAATTCTGAATCACCAAATCGGTTTCCAAATGTACCCGGCTCCCTTCCCTTTACAACTCCTGTCACTCTTTGCAGTCATCTGGTAATGTAACCTGTCTGCTTAATATGCAATAATTTTACAATCTATAGAATAAAATCTAAATTTCTCTCTCCCACAAGGGCCTTCCTGATCTAAGTTCAGACTGTACTTCCATGTTACTGTCAAGATGCCCTGATGCCATGTCCCAGGAGATGACTCTCTTTATTCTGCTTGTAATCTATCTTGGTCTTCACTCAGCGATTCCCTCAATCTAGGCTATTCTCTACTGTGATGGTCTGAATCTGGGTCTCTCCAAATTTCAGATGCTGGAATTCTAACCCCACAAGGGGATGGTGTTGGGAAGTGGGGTCCTTGGGAGGGATCAGGTCATGTTCTCATGAATGGAATTAGTGCCCCTACAGGAGGCCTGTGGGAGCTAGTTTGCCCCTCTCTCACTGTCTGAACCACTAGATGAGCTCTCACTAGTCACTCAATTTGCCAATACCTTTATCTTCTACTTCTCAGCCTCCAGAAATGCAAAAAGAAAATCTGATTGTTTACAAACCACTGTTTTATGGTATTTTCATCTAGCAAGCCAAATAGATTAAGACTTCTACTTTCCTCTATGCAGGCAACTTCCACTCCTTTAAGGCAAAACCTTTTCCTGAAGAAAAGGTTTCCGGTAACTTTGATGGTCCTCCCTGCATTTTATATATATATAAAAGCTACAATCATGATTGGTTCTTATGATTTTGGTCTGTCAACCCTGCTAAACATGGTGAAGAAATCAATCAGTCTAATTTTTTCAGTAAGTACTACTAAAGACCTATTTTTTATTATTGTTGTGTTAGACACTGTCTTACTGTACAGAATCCAGTATATAATGCAGAACTTGATACCATAAAGCTACTCAGGAAGCACCTGTGGCACTGAACTTACTAATTCTTACAGAGGAATAAAAGGGGAGCATGTAATTTCTATTCTACTGAAGAAATCATCTGTACCATGTGCAGTTTTATTTTATATATTTAGCTTCTATTCCTATCACATTCACCTGGGATCAAGTGAGTGAGCTTGATACTGACCTGTTCCTCCAGTGCCAAGCACACACTAGACCGAGGATAAGGGTCGTGAGGACCATAACAAGCACAGGGACAAGAACTGCAGCCAGCGCAACATCTGAAGCACAGAAGTAAAACAACCACATTAACACCAAAGGCAGAGACTGTGAAGGCATAGACAGACTAACCATATCACCACAGTTCAACACATTCCATCTCAAAGACCAACTTACACCACATTTATGAAACGAGGCTGGACATGAATGGGTAGGAACAGAGCACAGACGTGGGCATTTGTCACCCTACTCACTCCACCTCTACCTCTGCATGTTTGAAGCCTGTGTAAGTTTTAAATTACTGAAAGTTGAAAGAAAGACAAATAATAAACTGGAAAAATACTGTATGCATTTGTAAAAGATTAATATAAACAATATGTTAGAGGACTTTACAGGTCAAAAAATATAATAAATCATGATTAACTGATAATACATTTTGAGGCAGTATGTATAAAAATCTAATAAAGGTAGCAATTCTACATCAAGACTTTATTCCCTGGAAGAAAGGAAGATATCCAAAGATACATCTTGAAAGACGTTCATTGCTGTATCTGCAGAAAAGTGGAAAACTGGAAGGAATCTGAATGTCCAGTGACGCAAAGGGAAAGTGAATCATGGCATCTTCATGATGGATGAATATAACTATGTAATTTAGCAAATGAAAATGATGTTACAGCATCACGGCAAAATACCTACAGACACTGGCAGGTTACAATGCAGACAAACACAGAAGTTTGGCTGGAAAGGTGTGTATAAAGTGAGAGGCCCACAGAGTGCTGGAGCAGGCAGGGACACAGACATCTCTTACCATCCTCATCTCATCCCACATGTAAAGAATCCTGGGCCCAGATACAGAAAATGGCTGCTCAGTTACTCAGCATATTTATTCCTTCCTTCATCCTTCAATCTTCCCCTACCAGTGACCAGGACAACAGCAGTAAAGGCTGATATTCTCTGGGGCCTCAGAGCTAGACATTTGAGCTGGTCTACACCACAGCATCTGCTTTACTCTTTACCACAACTGCATCCATGAGAGGAAGAAGCAGATGACAGGGGAGAGGAAGAGGGCAAACACCACCACCAGGTATTTGAGAAGTGGATGTAGGGGCACCAGGCTACAGGTGAAGTGCTCAGCCTTCCGTAGCATAGGAAACCCCTTTTTATCAATGCAATACATAGGGGACAGAAATCTGCAGGCTCCTCAAATATGGAGTCTCTTTTTCAATGATTTCTATTTTCTTGGTGAAGCTGCAGCAGAAAGAGAGTGAAAAACCTCTTTATCAAGTATTTGCAAAATACGAAGAGAATTTAAAATAGCTTTATCAGTAGAGAATAGAAGAGCTCACTGGGGAAATCTGCAAGATCACCAACACACACCAGACCGTGACATGGTTTTCTTCATGAAACCGAATGGGAGAGGAGAAGTACATAAATAGAAATCATCACTCAGGCTAGAAAGCACTCAGAATCAGAAGCAAATGTGCCTTTTCCTTAATTTTTTTTGAAACTGAAGGGAACAGTACAGGTCTAACAGAGTAATATGACTGAATCCAAGGCATTAAAACATCTGCTTAGATCCAGTTGCAGTATATAAAGCTCAGTCAGTAAAGGAGTTACTTTGTAAGGTCAATGACACGAGTTCAGTCTCCAGAACCCTGGCATTAAAAAAAAAAAAAAAAAAAAAGCCAGGAGTGGTGGCATGTGTTTGCAATCCCAACACTGGGCAGGCTGACATGGGCAGATTTCCAGGGCTCAATGACCAGCCAAGCTGGGTTGGCAACTTCCAGGCCAGAAAGAGACCATCTCAAAAGCAAAGGTGGATGGTGCCTGAGGAACACATCTGAGGTTGTCTTCTGGTCTCCACAGGCAAGCACACATGAACAAATCTGTAAATCTATATATTATCCCCCAAGCTGGAAATAGCTCTTTGGGATATGCTGAGATCCTTTTGCTCTAAAAACTCTTGCTTCTCTTTAGCTTTTCTTATAACACAAGAAGAAATTAATATTTGTAGAAACATCTTAGAAGATAGGAAAGAAACTCATATGTGGAAAGTTGGAGAAAGTTGTCTGCATTTATGCAAACTTCTGGAAAATGAGAAAAATTATTGAAGTTCTAGACACAGGAGTTTTTCTGAATGAACTGCCCTCTAGTGGCAGGAGAGTAGGGACTGGAGACCAAAACATCAGGATTAATAAGAAGCCAGACTGTAGGAAATACTGGAAGCCCATCCCCACCTGGGCTTCATATGTATGCACACATACACCAATGGAGCATGCTCAGGCCAGATTGCAGAGAAAGGCTGGAAGTCCTTCCCACTTGGACTTCCTGTAACAAACAGCATCCATAAGAAAAGCCTGTGAAAGTTGGGGTGCTGTGTAAAGGCCCTATATAAGGTTATAATATATACCTCGTGGCCCAATGCATTTGAGGCTTTTTCCTTAGCTCACTAGCCCAATTCTACTCTTAGGAGTGCTTTTCTTTCTTAATAAACTGTCTCTATTTTTACTTCTAACCATGTGTCTCTGGTACAATCCTTTAGGACACAAGGGCCTGAAATCAGTCAGGTACCCTGTGACCTTAGATCCCCAGCCCAGCACTAAGCTGTTTCTTTTTTTTCAGATACTGGCCATGCTTTCTCTTACACACTGAGATTTTTATACCATTTCTCTGAAGGCCCTCTCCTTTAGGGCCATAGGGCTGCTTGCCCTGCATGCTACTCTCAAAGGCATTTACAACTTCCCTGCCAGGCTGTTTTTTTCTCAGACTACAGTAAAACTGTCCCAGAGTTTCCTTTTGAGTCTGTTTTCAAGTACTTTTATTACTGAGACCTAAAGCCCAAAAGGGAACTAGGGTTTCCCCAGTAATTTTTTTCTCCACACTGTCCTGAAAATGGGTATGTGTTTTATCTGTTAGCTCAGACTGTAATTTTGCCATGACACTGACACTTTATTTTCTGAATTTAACATAAATTTTGTTTTTTTAACAAGTAAACAGAAGTACTATATTTTGTATATGTTAACACTTTATTCATCGTAAATAATAAAATTTAAAAGTAAATTCCAATATGTTTGTGTGGATAATCAAGAAGAAACAAAAACCAACATATAAGGAGACTAGAGGTGGTTTTTTATTGGTGTTATTTTTGTGTTTTAATGGGGGGGGGTTGTTTTGTTTTTTGAGGCAGGGTCTCCCTGTAGCCGCAACTTGGCCCGGAACTTGCTATGTAGACCAGGCTAGCCTCAATCTCACAGAGATCTGCATGCCTCTGCCTCTTGAGTGTTGGGGTTAAAAGTCAGCTGTTTTTTTGTAATGGGTATGTTAACCTTAGTATTAAAAATAAAATGTTTGTACTCAAAAGTTCTGTTTTTGTTTTCCCCTTTTTTCCACCAACTTTCCTCTTTAGCCAATGAATATATAATGTGGGTAAAAAAGTTAGTTCCTGCTACAGTTTAAGTAATTTCTAGACAATGGGTTTCTATATAATGTGTTTCTAAGCTTTAGATTCCACATGCTTAGCTGATGGAGGGCTATAAGCAGTACCCATTGAAACATTTAAGTATCAAACAGTACCAGAGGACAGATTTAGATGAGTGTAGGTTTTTCCTAACTAAAGAAAGTAAAATGTTTTTGGTAAGCTTAAAAAAACACAGTTCAGGGAAAATTAAATGAGCTGGAAATGTCCCCCCAAACCTTAGTTGAAAACAAGAAAAAAACCAAGCAGGTAGTTGGTATTCATACCTGGTTTGCCTACCTTTGGTTACATTGGGAGTTACAGTCGTGTTTTTTATATCAGGAGTTGCAGTTGTTTGCTCCGTCTGTGCAGGAAACACATTTCTACTTCGAGGCTGTAGTGGTTGAGTAAATTTTGGGGCACGACCTTGAAAAAAAGTTTAAGAAATATATATATTTTTAAATCAGGAGCAACTTGATGAAGATAGTTTATTTTTTATAATGCTTTGAATTATTTATAGGAAATTGTATCAAAAATCCAGGGCACAGCAAACTCTCACATTAAAAGCAGGCATACCTTTGCCTATTTGCGGACGAGTTGTGGTGTTTTTGAGGTCATTGCTGTTCCGAGGTGGTGGGGGTTGAGTAAGCTTTGGAGGACGGCCTAAAAAACAGTTTAAAAATGTTTATACTTTTTGCTTTTAAAAATCATAGTTTAAAAAAAAGTAATGTTAAAATGTCTTCAACATTTCCTAAACTAGTCCAGTCTGCAGAACAATTTTAAAACTTAGAATGCAGAAGGATAGCTATGATATTCTACATTAAACACACAAAATCAAAGATTTTTAAAAGTTTTAAAATAACTCAGTTAAAAATAATCTTAGAAGAACACTGGGGAGCAGAATGATGCAGAGCTCTATACCTGTCAGGTTTTACCATAATTTGATATATGCCACATTCAGTACATTTGGTAAGTACTTATGGAGAGCTGACCATGAGAGGCACAGTGGGAGTTTTGTGGGGTATAAGAGTAAATAACATTAAAATATTATGAAATTTTCAGAGGTTATTTCCATTTTTAATTAATTTGAAGGCAAATTATTTAGGCTAAGGCTGCTGTTTTAATCTTCAGTACATATATTATCGTACATGAAACTTGATTAAAAGTATTTGACACTCAACCTGGAACACAATTGCAGTACATTATCTCAGGAGAATGATGCTTCCTTTTCTATTTGTAATTTTGGAAACATTCTGATCTATAACTTGTAAACAAAATAGTCACTTAAAAACTTCCTTGAAAACGTACTGTAACAAAACAAAGACACATTATTATAAACTGCTTTCTTCTAGAATGCAAAATCAGTTTCAATTAGTAATTCCTACCAGAGGTGACTTTTAAATGTTTCCAAAACAAAGAAATGATACATAACCAAAGTGATAGGTAGATCTGATCATTCTACCTGTACACATTACTGAAATGTTACACAGTATCCCATGAATACATGATTACCAGCTAAAAAATGAAAATATAGTTCGAGAAGTTAGCAATCCAGTGAAAATCACTCTGAAACACACTGACTCTTTACCTTTAAGAATAAACTGACATCCAAGCAGCTCCACTTTCATGGCAATTTTCTGTTGCCACTGGGTAGGGTTCACTCTGATGAAACGTGCAATAATTGGTGGCAAAAAGTTATTACGCACATCCTGGTGATAATCTTTGTTTCCTTGAAAGATCTTTAAAAAATAACAAAAATTGGTATTTTGGATCAGAAGAGATCAGAACTGGCCTGTTCTTCTTAAGCAAGCTCAACAACATGTATGTGTAAAGTGTGACAACATGAATTGACTTCTCAGAGAATAACTTAAATAACAAACTGGAAAAACAATTACTAAGATGCTATACATTTTCCATTAGAAGTCTATGTGGTGGAAATATAAACCATGAAAATGCTTTCAAGATGATCTAAGAATTTAGCAGGAGCTGCTAACCTGGTAATTTGGGAGAAGTTTCAATTGCAGTGAGACAGTTTAGTGTATTAATAAATTATCAACCCAAATCATGTGGAATTAATTATTCAAGCTCACTGATTTTATTTTTTAAATGAGAAAGAATCATGCACGGTATTAGTGAAATGCTTTGCTTGTGTCCTTTTAGGATTGTTCTCTCAATAAACAGGCTAAAAGAACAGGACTAGCAAATATGTAACAGATCTGTACCTCCACCTACTGGACAAACTGCATTATGGCAGTCCCCACATTATAATACCAGTTTCCATTATTAATTATGTGAACCAGAAGTAACTTTGAAAACACTGTTCCATCCTTAATTTAATGACTACAATACAATAGCTACAAATGTATTACATAAATAATCTTTAAATAAAAACATGATTTATAGTGACTATCTCAAGGCCTTAACTATTTCAAGCAAATGGTAGTATTTTATAAAGAATCAGCTCTTAATTATTTATGAAGTATTTTCAAGTAATTGACCCAAATGGTTTTCAAGGCAGGGTACAGGAAACAATGACCTAGATACTATAAGTGAAGCCACAGGGAGAGGTGACTTTACTGTGTCTTCTGATCTAATGGCAGGGCTCTAATAACCTAATTAGTGCCTTGCTTTTTTCCCTCACGCCAAATCAAGTAGGTGCTTTTTTAAAATCAGCTAAAATGGGAACAAATACATATTTAATTTCTCAAGTTATTCACAATTATGAAGACTCTTCTTTGCTAATTTACATGGAATTAGATTATAAACCTTTGAAGATATGCTAATATCTTTTATTTTCTGCAAAGTTTGCTTTGATCTTTCAATACTCTCCACATCTACAACTTTCTATGATTTCCTTAGATATTACTCCGAAATAGAATACAGGCAGTTGCTTGCAGTCGCATTATATTAGTGAGCAGGAACTACACTGAAACATCATTTCAGGACAAAACTATTGGTAAGGTCTTACTTTATTCTGCAGCACAATTTTATAAAGAACTTGAAAGAAAAAGGCTTTATAACTACTGGGTAAAAGATTTGCTGTAGTTGGAGCTGTGGATGGAGTTCAGTTGGTAGAGTGTTTGCCTGGCATGCACCGGATACACAAATCCCTTAGTTCAGTCCTTAGCACCACATAAAACTGGATATGGTGATACAAGCTTATAATCTCAGTCCTCCCATGAAAGCAGGTGGATTAGAATTTCTAGTTCAAGGTCACCCTCAGCACATAGTAGGTTCAAAGCCAGCCTAGGCTACCTGAGACCCTATTTAAAAAAAAAAAAAAGCTAGAGGTGGTGTTTGACAGTGACAACAAGAAAACTATTTTCCAGACAGCAGGGCAGTTACTCATATGAACAGAAATGGTGACAACATGCACAAAGCCTACATAAGCTCAAGCCAGATAAAATCCCAACATAGAGGTGGGGAGATAGGTAAGAAGCCCCAGCCCTCGTTGAGGAACTTTTGGTAACTGATAGCTGCTGGGAAAGGGAGAGTTAGTTTTCTTTACGAGTTGGAAAGAAAATGCTGGGTAAGTGAACCAGTTTCCATGAGATGGACCTGCACACAAGGGCATTTGGACACACAAATTAGACTTGATAGGTCTTAAATACACACACATACACACACACACACACGCACACACACCATGAAATCGGGCAGGGGAGGGGTGTTACTAAGGGGGGGATTGTAAATAGGGGATGGGGTCTGATATATGATCAAAATATATTGTATGAAATTCTCAAAAAGTCAATAAAATATTTTTTTAAATTTCTATCATTAAGCTATAAATATTTATTGAGGGTCTCTGAGCTTAGGGGGATTTTTAAGGTGTCCTTGGGAAGAATACAAATGGAAGTAAAATCTCCAATAAGCCATATTGGAGCTATCAAATACATATCAAATATATGTATATGGCATAAGGTACAATATTAGAAAGTAATAATTGTGAAAGTAAGTTATAGAGATACATTGGTCACATTTTATGAAAATAAAATCAAATCCATTCTCCTTCCGTTTATCATAGAGTGACAGGAACTAACAGGACTTCAGCCTTAAGCAGGGGAATAACTGAGAAACTGCACAACACAGTGGTTTTCAGACACTGGACAACAGACATCAGACAGCAAGAATCAGCAAGAAAAGGCAAAGAGGCCAGTCCTGCTCACCAGTAGACTGGCTGGTGAGTTTCCAGTGGAGTGCAAGAGAACCCACACAGAGTCTAGAGACCTCAGTTAATGGAGGAGACAGCCAGAGACCATGAGACCAATGGACACCTAGAATTCATAGGGTAGAGTTCAGGAAAGAAAGGAATGGAAAGGAACACAGAGTGAATGACAGCAGGAGCCAGTGAGCTACAGAAAAACTCCTAGGATCTGTAAGGGGTTTCCCCTTAAATCTGCAGCCACAAGCAAAGAAACGAGCTGTCAGAAAGAGAAACCCTAGGATCCAATAGAACAATCTCAAACCACATCACCAAATACACACAACACAATGAAGAAACTTCATTATACATAGACACACTCTCAATGGTGGGGTCAAGTCAGAACTAAAAGGCTGCTCAGGACCTGCCTAGCAAAACTTAAAAAGAATAAACTGTTTTCCAGTAGCGTAACTGCATTCCAGAGTAAACCTCAAATATATTTAAGGGAATAATAATAATAATAATAAAATTATTCAGCAGCAATCAATGGCATAATTACCACAATAATAATATTACCACTGTTGGCATCCAATAAAAAATTATCAGGAATGTAAAATATGAACCATAATACCCACTATTAAAGAATTTAGATGTGTATATATGATAAAATTACTAGATAAAGACATTAGAAGAGCTCTAAGCTTCTAAGCTCCATGTTTCATGTACCAATGAACAGACATGAAAGAAAATAATTTAAACCCCAAATTGAAAGTGAAGAGGTGAAAAATACAGTATTAGGATTAACAGATTAGACACTGAGTAAGAAGAGCAGAACAACGGAGG